TTTTTGTGTACTAATCAAAAGTGTATTGCAATTTAATGTTGGTAATTACTACAGGTGTTACTAAACTGTGTAGATATGTGATAAGGCTTGGTGTCCAAGGTTAATCCATCATCTTAAGTAAATTAATCCCTTTTATGTGTTAAATTTTGATTAAAATCAACAAGTTCCTTCATCTAAAAGGATTTTTATGGTTGGAGTAATTAGTCATTTTTTCGACTAACTACGCTTAAGCTGGAATTTTGTCAAGTAATGGCAAAAAGATTAAGGATTCAGACTATAGATAAACAATAAAAGAGGTATTCTTAGCCTTGGCCAAAATCATCAAATTCATTCTTTTAGGATACTTTTAAAATGTTTTAAGTATTGTAGTATTTTTCAAAATCATCAAAAAATTAAGAAAATAAAAAATCAATTTAGAATTTTAATTTAATGTTATTGGAATTTAAAATAAAAAATGTGTTACCATTTTCAAATTTCTAGATCATTTCAACATTTTGTTGACTTTTGACTTTAACTTTTCAATTTTACCTATTTTATTATTTTTAGAAAGAAGATGAAACCTTGTTTTCTCATAATTTAGATTTTAGGTTTTTAGCTTAAAGCCTTAAGAGACTTTGTAACACCCGGATTTTAACAGATTATACAAAAGCTCAAAGTCCCATAAGGGTGATTTAGTAGCCAAGAACGGGCCGTTCCCAAACTGAAACGGGTCGTTCCAAACTACAAAAATTGTCTAATTTCTTAGTTGAGAACGGGGCATTCCCAACTGGAACAGGACGTTCTAAATTACCAAAAAGGCTTGTAACCCTAGTTGGGAACGACCCGTTCTGGGAACGGCCCGTTCTGGTTTAAGAACTGGCCGTTCTGGATGTGAATTTTACACATGACGTAAGAGTATAGAACGGGCCGTTCTGGATTTGTTTTTGCTAGAAGTTGAACCATGAGTTTGAAACCACAACCTAGATCAATGGATTCAATGCTATAACACAATCGATGAGAACAACCAATTACTATAATCACCTAAATAGTATGAGATAGAGATCATTGTAAGGGGAATGGGGAGCGCAAGAGGTCACAAAGGATTTAGTCACCAAATAGTAGGAGGAATTAAGGGAATTGAGAGATTTAACACCCTAAATCCAATGGCTTAGAATATCAAATTATTTAGGAGGAAATAATCAAAAATTGGGACGGAATGATAAAATATTGAAAACCGTACTGATTCTAATTTTTTTTTATTGATAATAATGATTATAAATTACTTAATAAAAATAATATTTTAATTAATATTTTTCTCTATATAAAAAATGTTAATTTTAATTCAAATTTATAATAATAAATATTTTTAAATATATAAATTATATTTTATATTTATGATAAATAATTTATCTTCTAGCACAGTATTATAATTATTTATTGATTATTTATTTTAAAATTTTAAAATTTAATCCATAAATAATTATGATAAATAAAAATCTAATTAAATAAAAGAATTAAATAAATACCTAACTCATAGAAAAAAAAAATCTTTAAAAATATTCTCATATAAGATAGAAGATATAAGATAGAAGTATGTGTTTAATGTAGCTAGGAGTGATCCAAATATTATTTCGGATGTTGGAGTTGAGGAGCCTGCTATTGCTGATTATAGTTCTACATTGCTTGATGATCAGCCAGTCAATTTGGTGATCGTTGACTCGGTTAAAGATCCTGCAAACCGAGTGGTTCATTCAACTGTCATTGCAAAAACGGACACCTATTCTGTGTCTGCTGCGGAAGCTGTTCCAGAATCTTATGCGGTGATCCAAGCTTCTAGCTGTTAGAAGGATGCAATTTCTAGTGTTGCACCAGCAGAATGTGAGCTTCAGTCTTCTAGGGAACTAGCAAGTGACAACGATTCTTCTTTAGATGGCATGCCATCTTTGGAAGACATCTCAAATGATAATAATCAGCACCATCAGTCTGATCAGGATCAAGTTTTAGTCTCGCATATTGATGGTGACATAGCACAAGCACAAAATGTCATAAAAAGTGGGATTTTGCAGCCATTGCAGATGCTGCTACCGAATCTGAAGATGAACAAGAGGATTTGCTGCCTCATGTACCAAAGGATGTTAAGTCGAAGACCCCGAGTGCGAGTAGCTTTTTGCCGGACCCGTGTCTTGATCGAATAGATGACTTCTATAATGTTCAACAAGAGCTGTCTAGCTAGCTTTGCTCCCTCTGTCCAGCAAGATTTCAAGATCCTTACAGAGAGTGGATATGTGTGGAAGGAAGTGGATCAGCCCTCACAAAAGCCTAAAGCTCATAGTCACAAGAAACCTTCAGTGTCTAGACCAAGAACTAGATCAAGGGCTGCAAAATCCTCTAAATATTCCTGAATTAGAGTTGCTTCTACTTGACTACTTTCGGTTCCTAATGGTTTAGTCTTGATTTAAGGTCTATGACTAGATGGCTATTGTGTATGTGCAATTTTGTTGTTTCAGTTTTCACTTTGGTTAATTTTCTTTGTATTTTTTTCTATGCTTCCACTACAAAAAAAAGTGTGTGATTTGTGGCAGTTATATTGACAGTTTCTAGGGTTAAAACCCACCACAAACGGGATTATCGGCGTTCGTCAGATCTACGGTCGCCAAAAATTGTTTATGGCAGATATTTTGTAAACGGTAGTTTTGTGCACCAGAAAATTCAATCTCTTTGTGGCGATTTAAAAACATTTTGTGGGGGTTTAAAACCGCCACAAAATTCATCTAAATATTTCTTTATTTAACATTTCTGGCAGTTTGAAACTGCCACAAAATTGCTCTTTTTTTTAATTTTCTCATCTTTTCCGTCAAACCACATAACATAATTTTTTTTATTTACTAATAGTTAAATATTATTTTTTAAAAATAAACATTTTTTAAAACAACTTTTTACTGTCATAACCATTGTGAAAAAAAAATGTGTACACAATTTTGCACCACCGTATGTGGAATCATTTGCTTTTTTCTTATAGTATTTTTCTTCACAATTCCTATGAAAAAATAATTTATTTATTAAAACACCAAGCTGAAAAAATAATTAATGATCATAAATATTTGTTAAAACTGTTGAAGAAATGAAATAAATGTATACCAAAAGTACAAACATATTAAGATCTTATTAAAGCAATGTTATTCTTCGGCCAGTATAATTCTTTAAAAGGGACATCTTCCTTTTATCAAACAGCTATGTCAAAAAATTTATCAGACTGTCAAAAGCCAGATGATAATCAATAAATGAAGAACCATTAATTAAACACAACTAAAAAAATGAGAAACGTGGCAACAAATCACTTCACAATGTTAAAGACATACTGTCTAGGTTAGGTTAACTAAATTGGTGATGTACCTATATCAAACTTCTTGCTATCAATATCTATGCCAATAATCCGGGATGCACCAGCAGCTTTTGCACCCTCCGCAACCTGTCAAGTATAAATTACAAATCATAATAGCAGCCCACAAACAGGCAAAAATATAAACACCTACAGACAATTTAACTTCAGAAACTTACAGCAAGCCCAACAGTTCCAAGGCTAAAAACAGCGACAATTGACCCTGACTCCACTTTTGCAGTGTTCCAGACAGCTCCATGGCCTAAAAATTGGGGGGGAAATAGATATCACAACTTCATAATAATAAGCAAACTTGGTATTGGAAGCACACAAGACAAAACGTTTTTTAGCATTAAGAAAGAAAGAAGGGGGGAAAAAGTTCTGTAAAGTAACATTTTTTATCTTTCACAAAGCATGTTAATTGAAACTGTCAAAAAAAAAAGAAAAAGAAATGCAGCATCACCGATAGACTTGTTATCAAACTTAAAAGGTTTAATTATTGTTTGATACCTATAGTTTCATAAACTTTACATTTTAGTCCTTATAGTTAAAAAAGCTCATTTATGATCTCTATGCATATCATTTTTGTTTCCTTTGAGTCTTAGTTGTCTATTGACTATTGTTATAAGAATTAAAAGGTATATTTTTGAAACTATAGAGACAAAATGGAAACAAAAAGAGTATGTAAAGATGCTAAAATGGAATGTTTTAATGTATTTTTGAAACTGTTTCTCAAGCATGCCAAGGGTGCAACAAACCTCCATCCCCATATCCCTACAATAAGGTAGAGAGCCCAAGTGTTATCATTTTTACAGAAGTATTGAAGTATATTTTCATTTGAAAGGTAATAAATAAAACATTCAGCATATTTTTCAGTCACCACCAACATTTTATTATGTATATATAACAAACAAATGAAAACAAATGAAATTAATTAAGATGGTGCACCAAATATTGCAGCATAAAACATCTAGATTATAAAACTAAACCAACTTTATATTGTCTTTGATCTCATATCATGCATGCAACATATTCAAAAAGTACAACCTAACCTTTCGAATTGAAATAAGAACATCTCGAACAGCCTCCCCACTATCAACCTTTGATGATGAGCGAAGAATTGAAGCATTGGAAAGCAAAATATCATAATACTGCTCGAGCTGCACATTAGATATTTGTACAGGAACCCAATACTCAACAAACCTAAAGGAGTCAGACTTGCATCCTTGTGTAGTATGACTTGACAACCTCTCCTTCGGTTGAATATCAGAATTATTTATTAAACTGGCTTCGTTTTCATTGTTGACTTGAGAATCCTTCAGCGGCAAGTTTGCATATATACATTCTCCATCTTGAAGCTGATGAAAAATACAAATCGATCAAAGACTTACCCACACCCACAGACACATACATATATGAATATACATGTAAATAAGAAGGAAAAACAAAATGTATAACATTCACATGAGGAACAGATTCAGCATAAACTACTCTGTGTACAACTGAATATACTGAAGGAAGAACAACCTAGCAAAGGAAACCATAATAACTCTAATAGATTAGATAAACACAATAGTGCAAGACAAAACGTTTTTTAGCATTAAGAAAGAAAGAAGGGGGGAAAAAGTTCTGTAAAGTAACATTTTTTATCTTTCACAAAGCATGTTAATTGAAACTGTAAAAAAAAAAAAAAAAAAGAAATGCAGCATCACCGATAGACTTGTTATCAAACTTAAAAGGCTTAATTATTGTTTGATACCTATAGTTTCATAAACTTTACATTTTAGTCTTTATAGTTAAAAAATCTCTTTTACCCTCTTTTACAATCTCTTTTGGGATTGATGGCAAAGATTCATTTAAATTTTAGTCCTTATTCTTCATCTCACTTCGCATTCGTTCTTCTATTGAATCACTGCCACCATTGTCCTCCCTGCGATAGCGGTCTGATTTGGAACTCTTCTTCTTACTACTCCCACCACCACGTCGATGCCTATCCCTCTTATCATCCTCAGATTCGCTACCACTGCATTTTCTCGTGTCATTCTCACTCTCGCTGCTGCTCTGTCTCCTTGCCATGCCAAACCCTAGTCAAATTGAACATAAGCCAAATTCAAATTTGGAAAACACAGAGAAACTAGATACAAGATCAAAAATCAAAGGAACGAGTAATTAGAGAAAAGAAAAAGGACAAAGCACTTGGGTGCTTGGAAAAAGCGTGTGGTTAGTAGAATGGTCTGCGGAAAGAGGTGAAACCATGAGGTGTGAATGAAGATACAGATACAAAGAAGATGGAAAAGTGAGTAACAACCTTAGGTCGTGAATCACATAACTATGAGAGAGAATGGCGCCGATGCAGAAAGGTTTGCTTGCACACACTATCGGGTTGCGAATGAGAATGAGAACAAAGACGGTGAAAGGGCTCTGATGTAGGTTTCAATATTCCTTGAGCAAAGTTTTTACCCCCTCTTCCTAATTCTTTTTGATTTCAATGACTTCAATTTATTGTGAACTAGAACAATACCAGTGCATTTGCCACCTCTACAACTTTTTGATCAATTTCCCTGTACCTTAATTTCCCAGCATGATTAATTATCATTTTCTCCGCATCATTGTCTTTTAATTTTTTTAGAACCACAAACTTTGGCAGCAAATGACTCAACATTATTGAAGTCCCTATTTTTTACCACCAATAACATACTTTGAACCACATGCATTGCATTTAACCTTTTCTTTATCATCTTTTATACCAATTCTATTAAAATAATCCCAAATTTTAGAAGTAGTTACCAAGGCCTCTTACTTTCTCTATCAACATCGGTACCCTCTTTTACAATCTCTAAAAGATTCATTTAAATTATAGTTAACACATTGTTCATCTACAGTTTCAAAATCCATTCTGTATAATATAATGTGAAATTAGAGACTAAATAAATCACAGCCACATATACAACACAGTCAGTAGTACACTATGAAAAAGAACTATACCTATTAAAATTAAAATTCAAGAACTAAACGTCCAAGAACTATGGGTGTTAAAATTAAAATCAGTAAACATTTAATAGCTATAAACAATCAGTAAAAATCAGTACATAATCAGTAAAAAAAAAAATATACACAATCAGAGCGTGCTCGTGAAATCAGAACTATACACAATTGCTACACAACACACAATCAAAATTGAAATATTAAAAAATATACACAATCAGAAAATCAGTAAAATGTTAAATAGCTATACACATTCAGTAAATCAGTAAATCAGAATTAAAATATTAAATAGCTATACACAGTCAGAACTATACGTGCGTGTATCCAAATGCAAAATCAGTAAATAATCGGCAATCAGCAAGCCAAGCCGGGGGGAGTGGCAGTGCAAAATCACTAAATCAGTATCCAAATGCAAAATCACCAGTACCGTGGCGGTGCGCGGTGGCGTGGCACGACGGAGCACGGTGCACGGTGGCGGTGCTGGATCACGACTCACGAATAGAAGAGCGCGGAGACAGAGAAGAAATCGAAAACGGGCAAGCCCTAACCCTTCTTCAATTTTCTTTTCACCCGCGAATTTTCTTTTCACCCGCGAGTGGCGAGTGACGAGTCCCACCCACCCTACCTCGCTATGTTATGTACTGGACTGTAAGGAGCATAAGGCTAAGGAGGGGAACCATCCCTCAAAAGCCGGCTCAAGAGGTTGGAGAACTTCCCGCCTTATAAGGTCTCTTTGGTAAAGAAACCTCCTCGATGTGGGACTTGTTACATTACCACCCCCTTCGAAAGCTAGCACTCCACGGTAAGGCTGCACTCCAAGGTACTTCACTCATCGGCACTTCACTCGGCCTTTTGCCAGTCAGAACCCTCCGATGGTCAGAACTCGATGGTCAGAACCCTCCGTGAGTAGCCCTTCTTGATTTGGCTGGCTCTCAATGAAAGCACCATTTTAATGGTCATAAGGCTAAGGAGGGGAACTATCCCTCAAAAGCCGGCCCAAGAGGTTGGAGAACCTCCCGCCTTATAAGGTCTCTTTGGTAAGGAGACCTCCCCGATGTGGGACTTGTTACATGGACTTAATAATTGGGCCAGTGGAATTTTCTTAAGGCTGGTAATAAACACACCTCCATTTTTATATAAATACACCCTTTTTTTTAATAAATATATGAAATTTATAAATTATCCTTATTTGCACTTTTTTTTTTCCTCTGTGCACCTCTCTTCTTTTTTTCTTCCCCACGCACACCTCTCTTCTTCTTTTTCCTTCGCACACCTCTCTTCTTCCTTTTGCTGCGTGCACCTTTCTTCTTTTTTTACACCTCTCTTCTTCTTCCCCCTTTGAATGGCCGCTTCCTGCTCCTGCTCCTGCCCCACCATGCGCGGGCTGGCCATGCTCTCCTGAACCGACACCATTGCCTCAAACACCTCCTTCTCCGCTCTCTTCGTCTCCTCCCTCACACGCTCCACCCCCTCCCTCTGCTCCGCCGTCAACCCCTCCACACCGCCCTCTAGTAAACGGACTATCAACGACGCCTTGTAGTCCCCGATCCAGAGGAGCGCCCTCTCGTACGCCGACAGCCACGGCGCCAAGAAGAGGAGGAAGACGTCAGCGTTTGCCAACCTCGCTTTCTCTTCCAGAAACTGCTGGTAGTCACACAGAACTTGCTCGATTACGCTTTTCTGTTGCTCCTCGCTCTCAGCACTGAGAAGCGACAGCACCAACTTCTCTTGACGCCAAACACATCCCTCGTGGAACCCTTCGAACGACTCAGGAGAACTCGCTAACATTCTGATGACAATTTCCGAATTCAGATTGTGCCAATTTATACTGTGGACTGCGGGAACTCTCTCAGCAGGTAAGGGTGGTTTGGACATTTTTAAATCTGTTAATTAGCAGCGCCTTCTTGTCTCTTTTTTCCTTTTTTTTATTTATATTTAATTGGAGAATAAATTTTCTTAGCTGGTAAGGATTTTGCCGCTGGTTTTTCGAGAGATACGAGGATCAAAGTGCTGTAACTGTGTAAGGATAATTGGTTTTGCAATGGCGGTGGGAGTCAATGGTCTCTGTCAAGGCCATGCCATGTCCTTCAAGGCAATGTTTCTTTTCGCGGGAAGCGAAAGACGCCCGCACAAGCCATCTATTGTTATACTATCAAACTGCTACCTTATACTTATATATAAATCAAGAGAGGTGTACGGAGGAAAAAAAGAAAAGAGAGGTGTGCGGAGGAAGAAGAAGAGAAGTGTGTGAGGTGTGTGTGCGGAGGAGGAAGAAGAAGAGAGGTGCATAGAGTAAAAAAGAAAAAAAGAGGTATAAATAAGGGTAATTTAGGAATTTCATATATTTAAAAAAAAAAAAAGGTATATTTATATAAAAATGGAGGTGTGTTTATAACTAGCCTTTTCTTAATTTATGAAACTTGCCAAAAAAAAAATTAGTTCAACCCGACATGAAACAAGATAAGCTGAGTTCACTCATAAATTATGGTTGATTTTGATGGTTTTAGTTTTTATATATGTTAAAATTATATTTATTCAAAGAATTACTTTTATATATTATAAGATAATATAATTAATTGTTTAAATTATTTTGAAAATATAGAAAAAAAAAA